CACTTGGAGCGCAACACTGGCAAAGTATTTTATGTATTTTTAAATGCATTTCTAAATGAATTGTAATATGAACGACTGTATGAGTTGCCCGTCGTAGTCGTAGTCGTCGTTGCCAGGCACGACCTGCGATGCCTATCTATTTTTTCCAAGAGCCAAAACGCTTCCATCGAGACGGCTGCTCCGACTCCGACTTCCAACCGAATCCATTCCACACAACTTGCATGCTCACGTGGGGCAGCAAAAATAAAATTCAAATGCAAACACAAAACACATGTGGCGCCCAAATTCAGAGAAACAATCCAACCAGTCAAACAATAAAGCAGTTGAGGTGATTTTTACTTTTACTTGCCAAGGCTCATGTGCACGATTTTCCACCAGCCAGCACCAGCTACCAGACCAGCCAAACGTCGATTCCAAATGCCAACTTTCAAATAGCATAAATGAAGAGACGACAGCCACAGACAACAACAGCCATGATTGTACAATAGTTTTACGCAAAACGTAAAGAGCCGAGATAAGATGATAAAGCTACACTATAAAAACGCCCTAGGACCGATTCCGACTGTTCCCTCCGTGGGCCCTCGTATTGCGTCAAGTGTGACGCAGTCTCTACTTTTGGCATTGTTTCATTATAATAGTTCCAGCGACTCCCCAATTTCCATTAAAAAATCAATTTTTGACAACACTTCTATGGTATTACTCAAACAATGCCTTTGTGTGTGGCCAGCAATGACTTTTTAGTTTTTATATATTTCGACTGTATGTAATATTCCAATAGTTTTCAATGTAGGTGGGTGCTTTGCATTTCCATTCATTCATTGTATCCGACTCGGACACAATAAAGCTGTGCATTAAATATTGCTTTTGATTATCATATGTTGAGTGTGCTAATGCGGTCGCCTTTTAAGTACTCAAACTAGTCCAACAATGCAACATTGATGAAATTTAGATTGTTATATTTCTTTGAAATTTAGAGATCAAATTTGTAATAAAAGTGCTTCTCGAAGCTACATGTCAAATTTGGTGATAAACCTAAGAAATTCGCTCAAAAAACAATATTTCGATATCGATTCTTATCGATTGCTAGGAAAGAAGACAAGTTATCAATTATCGAAAACAAAATCGTACTGCGCAGGCTGTAGGGGGACCTACTTTTAAAATTTCATATCCCTAGCTCAAATTAGTTCTGAGATGCTTGTGTTTATATAAGTATATGAACGGACGGACGGACACACATGGCAAGATGGACTCGGCTTTTGATGCCGATCAGGAATATATATGTATATATCCTTATCCCCTTTTGCAATGGGTTTAGGTTAAAACAGACTACATGGAAAACCAAAAACAATATGATGATCAACGATGATAATCAAGACTCTTATTATTGGCCGTAAAACTATGATCGGTTACCGGAATACCGAAGATTAAATATGTTTGTAAAAATATCTAAACTTATCTACATAGAGCTTTAGTTTTTTTTCGAAGTACTCCGCCTTAAATATTGGCAAGAAAAATAGTACATTTATTGCATTTAAATAAAATATTTAAAATTTGCAATAATAAAGAAGATATCTCGTTATTTTCATTACCAATATATCTTTAAACTGAGGGATTAGTTTGTACAAAAAAGTTCACCATATCCAAACTAACCAACAGCTTACCAAGCGACCTTTACACTGGCAGAACCATCCAGCTGGTTCCTCCATCATCTCTCTGCTATGCACATGCAGCTCCTTCAGCTTACAAATGAAAGTGAAAATGCTTTTGACACAAGTTCCCAGTTGAAGGTGCCTAAAGACATGTTTTTATTGTCTTGTTTCGCATGTTACACAATGGGCAAGGCCTTTAAACGGCGCGAGACTGAGGATGAGACAATAAGACGAAAGACAACCACACAGCACAAGACAACACAACATATAAGCCCCGAAAACTTACCCACTCCGCGAGTGGCACAAGTGACCAGATGAGGGGCAGTATTCTTGGCATGCACGAGAACTGGTCAACCGATTTATCGGTCGGTTAGTTGATCGCTCGCTTACATCGATCGGGACGGACAAAAAATCTCGCACCGCCCGAAGTATATATATATATATATATACAGCTCTCCGAGTGCTCCGCATTTTTTAATGGAGCTTGAACTGTATCGCACTGCGGGGCAACGACCACAAAGAGCGACCGCAACGTCGCGTTGCGTCGACGACATTCGCTTTCATTTTGAGCTGCAGCCGCGTCTGCTGGTCAGTCGCATTTGCGACTAGCCGTGTCGTGCAGTGCAGTCGGTGCCGTGCCACGGCATGCCACTTCGATCCACACCTCACTTCCCTCTCGCTCACTCACTCTATCTCTCTCTCTCTCTCTCTCACTCTCCGGAGGTTGCCATCTGGCATGCACTTGCCGCGATCAGTGCGCATCGGTTCATTCGTTTGTTGCACTTGATGTTCGGCTAGCGCTTTCGGTTCGCGTTCCCATTCCCATTCGCTTTCGATTTCTTTTATGCTTTCGATTGTATACCCTTGAAACAATACAAGGGTATAATCGACAGTGCAGCTCACCAATGGAGACATGCACGATCATTAACAAAATAAATATAAGCTATTAAAGAGTAATTAGTTTATATACTTCACATAACAAGATTGTGAACTACTTTCTACTTATAACTGGGATTTTTAAAAAAACGTTCCACATTCTTGAATATGAATGAAATGAAAATAGAGTCTAAATCTGTATAAATATCAAAATGTTATGCTATATCTACGTACTCGTATATAACTTTGGTGCCTCTTAAACACGACATATGCTTAAAAATCTGAAAGTCGCTATAAATTTGTATCGAATCGGGCGATAATATAAACTAAGCTTGATCAAAATTTAAAATCTATATTTTTTTATATTATCTGTGACCGATGAACAAATGGTCTTGCCTGTTGATGCTGAGGAAGAGGGCATACCCCTTTCTTTGTAATTTTACAAATATAAATTATGTTTTTTATTTCGATTTGAAGTCAACGTCAATCAAACTGTTTATTGTCAATCGTCCGTTTTGTTTATTAAAAATTTGTCAGATACTCTCGACCTCGCAAGAGAGATTTATAAGTAAGCGTGCGAAACTTATTAATCATACCCATCATAGCCGCGTCTGAAGACGTCTCGACTTACGTGTGTGGTACTTATGAATGTGCCAAGATTAGCCTCGACTGGTTAAATCGCGGCTAATAACCGACGGTGGCCCTTGATCAACAACTGGCGGGCGACCACTTTCGTTTTTTTTATTTCAAGTCATGGTCGGATTCATACCGGAGATGACGATCGCAGTCACAACGGCTGCCCCGTCATTGATCATTGGAAAGTTGTTCTCGCACACACACACTAATTATAAGGCTGTTTTTTTTTTTATGGCAATTTATCGTCGGATGCCAGACCTGACGACCACACGTGCAGCCCCACATCAATATTCGATTCCGAAATCAAAAAGTTTCATTCATGCATCATATTCACACGGTGGACCCAAGAAACGCATGTATTTCCACATTTCAGTTGTCCGCTCTACCCCACTTAACAGCATGTAAAGTAAATGTAAACGCTTTTCTGGTATGACAGTAGTTAACGTTTCGGTTGGACAGGTTATCGATTGCACTTTGATGCTTTAATCAAAAGAAACGCGAGGCAAGACTTGCAACGAGTTTACCCTTGGCAGATATATTTAAAATAATTAATCGGATATTTATATTTATATATTTAAAAATAAGTATGAAACCCATTGAAAAGCGAACCAAAAGTTGGAATAAACATTTAAGGCCCGTGTTTTTTACCTTGAGTACAATCTTTGACCTCTCTTTTTGAAAACTTTGAGGTTTCAATATTATTTAAGCTTTCTCGATGATGCATTATCCTATGGCATCTGCTCCAATTGTTTTTTCTTCCAAATAAAAGAGCTGTGAATAAATCTAGTAACTATCGAAAAGATAGCAGAACTAGGTATATAATTATATAGAAAATAGAAAGAAAAACAAAACAATCTAAATGTTTGCAATTAATAAGCATTACGAATATGCTGAAAATTGAGATACCTAAAACATAAATATCTCATCAGCCCTCGAAACTTTAGTATACTATTACAGTCTTTGAACGTATTGCAAGCAGGGTACATAGTATATGTACACACAGAGACATGTAATAGGTTGATTAATCTTGTTGCTTCTGCGGTATTTGCGGTTAATAATGATTAAGTCTTTGCTGATTTTGTTGCTGTTGTTGTTGTTGTTGTGGATCGCTTTGGCCGCTGCCTTGGATGCTTGAAACTTACCAACATTAAATAAAATACAAGCGTATAAACAAACAAGCAAGCAAACAAACAACAATTCCAGACTCAAATTGAGTCAAAAGAGATACCACAACAACAACAGCGTCAGCAACAGCGACATTGCAAACAACTTTCCAACCACAGTGGCAAGTTTGGATATAGATTTGATTTGGACTTGGACACGTACACGTGAGCGTGAGTGTCTCGCAAAGCCTAAGCAGGTATCTTAGCACACACTAGTATGTGCGTGTGCTAGTGTGTGTTAGTCCATTTCAAGCTGTGTGTGCCGCAAATTGTTTATTTTTCAATCGGCATTGGCTGCAGCTGCTGCCACTCGAAGAAAAGTGAAATTTCTCAGCAACACCCCGATTTATGATATTCATGTTAATGACTAGACTGCGCTCGGCTGAAAACGTGATTTTGATTTGACATTTTGCAGTCTCTTATGACTTAGATGGTTCGTTATCAAATCAAATCGAAAACAAGTTTTTGGTAATTTGAATTATATGGTTGAGCCAGCCGTACAGCTCATCTTGGGGCACGTCACTTGAATGTCATCTGCCAGCTGGCTAAATGCCATACATCATGGTGTGCCACAGCGAATGTCTCCTCCCTTACCCCTCCCAATTCTCTTTACATACCTATACCCTAATACTAATCGATTGCACTTTATATCTGTATCTGCACGCTTACGCAACAGTCAGCGACTCTGGCAGGCACAGTAAGTACTCTATTTAAGCATTTTGTTGGTGTTCTTTATGTCTTCTATTAGCTGGCACTTGAGTAGTATATGACATGCAGCAGTTTGTTTGCATGACGGCCCTACAGGGTTGTTAGCAATCAATCATCTTTTTATTTGCATTCAGAAATTAACTTTACTTATTGTTGCGATTGTTTATATAAAGCTTTTTTGTATTATGAACATTTGTATAATCCCATGTGCATTGTTAAGTACTTGCTTAAATTACGCTTCTAATAATATCAAGTTGCAACTGTAGACTTGGATTTTCCTTTACCTAGTTCCTATTTGCCCACATTAAAAAACACCATACAATACAATACACAACTCGAAAACCATCTGGCTGTTTTCATCGCTTTTAAACCTGAAGACTCAGAACTTGACGTATCTCTGACTCTATCTGCAAGTTGGCAAAATGGGGTTAATGTTTGTATAGAGCAAGAACTCTCAATATTTGTCAGTCTGACAAGAGACACAAAAGCATATGTAAAATAAAATTACTAATGGAAGCCCAATCTAGAAATGTGACACAATTTTTATGAAAACAATAGCAATTAAAATAATAATCAGAACAATTTGTATGTTCCATGTGAAGTAGGAGGGAATCATTCAATATCAAAAAACAAAGAGCACAATAAATCAATAAAAAGTGACATTCAAAATAAAATTTGTATTGTTAAACAAAAGCTGCTCTTCATATTGTGTTTTAAACAACACACAACTCAGAGAATTTTATATATAACCTTTTTTTAGGAATATAAAGTGGGTTATTTTTTAAAGATAATTTTCTGGCACTAGGGAAATTCTGAAACAATTGTTAACGTCTCTGACGGGTGTAACCGACTGTGCGCTAACTTGTTCTTAGCTAATTAGCCGTCAAAGTCTTATTGATTATTGGGCTGAAGAAGATTTTATAATTTGCATTATTATTATTGCAGAAATAATAATAATAATATACTATTTATCATTAGAACACGACTTTTCTAGTCGAGAGGATATACAAGGACATATCCTTCTATAGATAAATGCATGTAATTAAAAAAAGCGTTTCTGCTGATAAAAACATTTTTTTTATGGAGTTGGAGTTCCGTTCTTTACTTTTTGTTACGTTAACTCTCAAAGGTATAAATATATTGGCGACTGACGCTACTCTATAAAAAAATAGAGAACGAAATGTCAAGCGAGCGGGTCTGTCCTCATAATGTTCGTTTCAGCTCTAAATTTGCATACCTAAGGCCACAATCAAACATTAAAATGAATATCTCAGAAAGTTTTCTTTCAAATTGACGACAAGACATTGAATTATTTCTCCTTAAGCAGTCTTCGACTAATTCTATCTATTAACACCAAACCAATCTGAGTATTTACTGCACCCTTCTCCAACTGTGCAGTCTTATCGAGTCTATTTACGTAACCTTAAACATTTGCCTTTGACTGGCGCGACAAGTGATCAATGAAGAAATGTACTCGGGGCAAACCAATTGTCGCGTAGTTTTTATCGGGCGGCACGTGTAAATGGCCGAGAGGTGCAAGCTTAGCCTCCAAATTTTGTCCCCTTTTTGCTATGGCCCGGCGGAACTAAAGGCGGCGAGTTATAAGACATTGCATGTATTTGTCGGCAATACTTTGAGCATGTGTATAATTTATAGTATTTGCATGGCCCTAAAAAGTAGCAAATACTTCAGAGATAGTTAATTTGCCGCATGCCGTAAGTATTAGTCATGTGTGCTAAGGCTTCTATATCTGAAAAAAAATCACATGTAATGTAGGAATCCAAATTTATCAAAACAGATCTTATTGTTACTGTTATATACACTCTTGTTGAGTTCTTAAGCATTGTTAGTTGTTGGACACAACACAAATTTCGAAATATTTTTATGTGTGCTTATCACTTTTCGCTTATCATTTAAAACATTTTGATTTTCCTATTCTATATACAAAATTGGCTGTTCTTTAGCTCACACTTATTGTATTTCATAATTAATGGTAATTTATTTTCCTCTTCAGGCATCGCGTAAAGTCTCCAAATGTGGCTATTTATTTGTTGCGCCGGATTGGGACTTTTCAAATCCATTGTATCGGACAAAGGTGAGTTTTCAATAGAATAATTAATCAAGTGATTAAGAATACATGTTGATAAAGCATTGGACATGAATTTCTTACAGACGGTCCGATAAAAGTTCTTATATTACCGAATTTAGCTGTTATCGAGTAGGTTACTAAACAAAATAACTCTAAAGAAAGAATTGGCTTGAAAAAATAAATTTATGTTTACGAATTTTGAAAGTATTCTGACCGAATTATCAAACAGTCCGTCAAAAAAAAGTATTTCAAAATCAGTCTAAGTATGAAATGTATGTATGAAATGTGTTTAATCTTAGGTGTGTCGTTGTTTCTGTGATCAATATAAAAATGTATTTGAGAAGTCTATTAAACATTGCGCGATTGAAATGGATACGTAACTAGTACGCGTAAATATACCCAATACGCTTGATTTATTGTCAATGAAAGGGTTAGCTTTGAACTAAAACACTTGAGCAAATATTTGGCAGTCCGGCCTGGTCGACTGAAGAAAGTGCCACTGGCCGTCATAAGAACAGTACATCCCAGGCACTGGCACCCGTACCCGGTACGATTACAGCAGCTGTGGCTGGTGTGGACCAGGCAACGCCTTTTCCTCTCTCGTCGATTCGTATCTCGACCAATTAGCGAATGACGTAGCGACGTGACGGCAGTCAGCGTATCGTTAAATCCGCCATCGTCCGCGAAATACTTGTATGCAAATGCCTGAAAACCAGCGGTTACCAGCTGAGGGAAGCATCATTGGGGGCTTTCTAGAAATGGACAAGTGTCCACTGGAGCTTATGCGACGTTAACGTCTACGGTGACAGCGACGGCGACGGCAATGATAATAATAAAAGTGTACTCATGCGCATTGCGCACTTCCTTCTTAACAACATAAATTTACGTATGTTTTTAATGGTTGGACAGGTATTTAATTAACAATTTCTGCGTGGATCCACATCAAGAGTATCAACCGGATGTATGCATGCCTCTTTCTCTCTCCTCCCTCCATCAGCCTCTTTTTCTCTATATATATATATGTTTGAGTGCGATGGACTAATGCAGAGAAATCAAATCACCCAACCAAGCAAGAAGTTTTAAGAGGAGCAAAATTTTCATTTCGGAGTCAGCCAAAATAATTGCTAATAATTTACCGGACATGTTAGGGATTACTAATAAAAGCTAAGTTAAATAGACAACCGATGAATAGGAATCTCTATCCCCAATTCACAATAGTACTACCGGTCTATTCCCTGGCCTTCTCCGTGTTAAGTTTTGTGCTTTACCTTTTGTATATGTGTTCAAACTCAATCCAAAAGTTTGAGTCGAAAAATGTATCAAGAAATGTAGAAAGATCTTCGAAAATTAGCTTAAGATCAATCGAATAGTAAATCAAAAAAATTGTATGCTAACGATTTTCACAATTTTTCCGATAGTTGCGGGGGGAATTTTACCAAACCCTGTCTAAGCGGGCAGCTCTAGCTCCTAGGGCTTGTACTCCAATAGGTCAGTCAGGACAAGCAGGTTTATCTATAGATGTTTATCTGGGGAGGACTCAACAACCGATTGGCATCTGACCTGGTATTAAATATCGAAAGAGCCTGTAAATATAATTTGATCTATTTGCCAAGCCCTTTGAGGCAGAATTTGCTGTGTGCAGTTAAGCAATTACTGCATTTCACAGTTCAGTGCTTTAGGTGCAGCCATTTTGTATAAGCCCATGCCCCTTTTTGAATTATATTTATTCAGTCAAAGTGGCCGCACCTCAATTCTGAGCTTTTTGCAAATGCCAGGAGCTACAAACTTATCCAGGGCTTTCTTTTTGGTGGTAAAATATTAATATTAACTAAGATTAATATTAATATTGATAATATATATACTCAAAAATATTTCATTGTATATTCATTGTAAAATATACATTATTCCTAACATAGTCTTGAAAAAATAAATAATAGTCCAACAGTAAGAAGACATAAAAGAGTACACTTGCTCGATCTCCCGGTTAGATATATCAAATTAGTAACTAAGGTCAAAAATATTAGTAGTTTTTACAGACAAATTTCTATTCCTGTTAATTTTAATTATTTCTAACTGAATTTATTTGTTGTCTTAAGACAGAGTGTACATATATTTTGCATATATTAGCTCTGTATATTACATTGTTTGCCTGACTGAATGGAAATGGATGTCAAATATTTGTTGGGTTAATTTCCGGCTTCAAACTACTTATTAATAAAGTGCCTTTATGAAAACTTCGCTAAATCCAACCATCTTGAAAAGAAAATTATTGTCACAGATTTTTTTGATATTGATAAACAAGTGATTTTATTTTGTGTCATTACAAAATACTTCTTATCGACTCTCTTAAATGGCTCAAAAATAATAGTATACGATTTCTTGTGTGCAATTTACGTTCTTAAATAACTTTGGAACGATTTTTTTATCTACAATGCCAATGCATTCATTCAAATTGAAGCCTACTGAAAAAAGTCTGACTAGCAATAAAATATATGAAGATGTGGTAAACTACAAATTTTGTATGCATAATTTCCATTGATAACTTAAATTGTGTAATTTGGTGCAGATAATTTATCAATTCACTTGACAATGATTACAATTTGGAATGCATTGAAACCAGAAAGCATGGCCCTTCAGGACACCCATTGCATCACCTGGTGCTAACAGGTTAGGGCGACTAGCTTCTTCTTTCCCACTCTGTGCCGCATTTATTAGCTCGCTAGGAAACGACTATAAAACGTACAGCTAAAAATTATGTAGATTTTTATCGGCGCACCAAGTTTTCTGCATACAAAGTGCACAATTTTCATTTGAGACGGCGGCAAAGAAAACCTGCCGAGCAACCCAGAACGGAAAGACAGTCTTGAGGACGGACGACCGGAGACACAACACGTGGGCAATATAAGCGCTGACTGAGCAGCAGCCGATAAGCCATTATGCAGACGGGTTCGGGCGAGACTGGAACGGGCCTGCCGTGAAGGATAAACAAACCAATTTTAGCTCCTGAACAAGTTCAACGACCCTGGCCGGCGAAACGGAAGTGTTTGCTAGGCAATTGGCCAGCGACTGCGGTCGGTCGCAAATCCGAGTAATGCAGTAGATGATAGTCACAATCATCTTGGCTACTCTCCAGAAATGTTGTTGATTGACAAGTTTGCGAGTCCAGATTCGCGTATGTCTTTTTAATTAAACCAGGAAGTGACTAGCCCCAGGCACCAGTCTGACCTGCAGTCATTTATAAGAACTTGAAATATTTATTAAAAATTATGCACGCATTAGTGGCGCGTCTTTCTACCGTCTATCTAACTGAATGACTTACCTTTATTAAGGAAATGGTCTGCGTTATGAAGATTACACAAAATGTTGCGTATTATATTTTTGTTGTTGTTGTTGTTGTCGTCGTGATTGCTGTTGTCCTCGTCATGATTGCTGCCTTCGCTCTGGCGATTTGATGCGGTTCAGTTTATACTCTGCTCCATGCCAGAATTCACTATAAAAAGCTTAACAGTCATTTCGGCTATTTCACGATACGCCCACAGTGAGTTGTCTTAATTTCCTGTTAAGTGATTAGAAAAACTAATTACACGTCAGAGCTGGATACAGCTAGATAGAGAATGAATATTTGTTGCTTTTATAGGTGAATATTACAACTGAAACACGTTTTGAATCTCCAAATAACGTAAACAAGTTCATTTGTGGCAAATAACAGTTGCACCGAGTCGTTAACGGAAACGGGAGCGCGGGAAGGTACAATGAAATTTCACGTTTGGCCAGACTTCAGACCGCAGACTGCATGTGGGCGAACCAAGTGGAACGGAACGGAACGAAGTGACTTATGGTGTAGGTGGAACATAGGAAATGCAATTAATGCATATCTAATGAGCATAAGCGAGAGACTTTTGATATATACTCACATTTGAACTATTTGACAACAAACACAGAAGCTATTGAAGTATGCGTTTCCCATAGCGTTAGAGAAAATGAATGAGAAATTAAATTAAATTAAATTTCTACAACTAAATTGTAAAATTGCAAGAATTTGAGAGCGATCACTGAATTTGGGAACATTTGAAGAGTATAATAAAATCGAGTGTGCTTGTGGAATCAAATTGTTTTTAAAGAAATGACGGAATCATACGATTAATATACAACAATCTTAATATCTGTTTGGTCAAGTAACAGCAGAGATAACACCGACGGCTGCGGACATCATCCAACAGCAGAAAATAACAATCATAATTACAGCCTAAGAGCAAATAGTTTTTTTTGCGCGCTCTTTGTAAGCTGCTGTCCACTCTCCTTCTGAATTGCTTTGCTTGCATTGCTGCCCTTCGCTCTAACCGGCGAGCGTCTGATTGGAGTTTCGTTTCGATTCGCTTTACATATTGTTATAAGCTGTCAGTCTTTCGTTTTGATCGCAACCTAGGCACAACTAATTCGAGTTGGCTGCCAAGCAACAATTTAAAACTTATAAATTCTAATAAGTGCCCTGCGCGGCAAATAAATCCATTTGAAAACTAATCTAAGTGTTTGAATTTCGCTGCACAAGCAGTTAGAATTAATTGGTTGCAAAAAAGCTTGCAACTACACATTTTGGTGACCCCGACGTGATTATTTCTTTCTTTCATTTTTTCTATTTTTTCTTGTACTTCGTTCTTGTCGTGTCAACGGACAGTTATCAGTTCGGGCAAAGCTGTGTGGTGAGCCGTTTGCTTGCGCATCTGCATACAGTTGGTTGTTATACATAAACGCCGTAGCAAATCCCCGCTAATCGTTGCGCGCTATAACCCGCTATACGCTATCTCGCTCGAACGAACACTTGCGCGATCAGACTTGTATTGTAGTTCGGCTGTGTGAACCTTGTTGTGCGCTACATTCATAATGTTTGATGAAGGTGCAAGTGCAAATGGAAATGATGAGGCGACATCAGCTAGTCAAGTGGCGGTTGGAACCCAGGCTGCTGTTTTTAAAATAAAGATCAAGAATTTAACTGATCGACTCAATAG